ACTGCTCCTATAAATCCGTCTAACTTTGCCGAGTCTTCATCATACTTAGGGATAATCTCTACCAGGTCTATCACCTTGATAGCTTTTAATACATTGGTACCGGCCTACTTTCTTCTGTCATAACCTTCTGTATGTACTGTTCTTGGCTATCTTCCTATTCCTACTTCTTCGCGAATATTTGTATGTGTGATTGCCTAGTCGTGTGCCTATTATAATGGTATAGTGTATTTAGTGTCTATAGGGTGTACTTAAACTCTATAATGTGTACTTAGTTTCTATAATGTGTACTTCGTTAAATGGTTGTTAATTTGTTATTCATTTCTTCTTCTCCGTGTGATGGAATGGAGTTCTGTAATTACTTTAAATTAAGTATTTCTTCTCTGATATTGATAAAAATGTAACAACAATGAGCTTCAATTGGGTTTTTACTTGTTAATTTGTTTATTCTTATTATATCTTGTGTTTATATACATTTGTATTTATTTATTATTTGCTATATGTAACTTGTTTACTCTTATATTCCCAACATTTGTTATTTATTATTATTAATCTTCCTCTTCTAGCATTTCCTTGTTTCTGTTCTAATTTCCTTCTTCAATCATTGTCGCTTTCCTTTTTCTTGATCACCTCAATTTTACTATATACCATCTAGTCCTTGTTACCCCGGCATGCTGAAGCTAGCTGGGTAGATGTGCGATACAGCATCCCATTATTTATTTATTTTATTTTTTTTTTATTATTATTTATATCTTCCTTTATTTATTATTTTCCCATCCCATTCTCATGCTAGGCGGCCGCCCTGTGCCGTACAATGCGCCGCCTAATACATGCTAATGGGTACTCGTATTTAATTAATTTAATAATTTACTCCATCGAATTAGTACCTCCCCTTGCTATTCTGTGCTGTACAGTTCACAGCCTAATACAAGTGAAGACCCAACCGATACCAATTATTAATATTATTATTTAACTTTCTCTCATTTTCATGTTAAACGGCCGCCATGTGCGATATAGTGCACCGTCCAATACATTTCAATGCAGAAATTAATTTATTCTTCGACTTTTATTCTTTTCCACGCATTGCTCTTCTCCTACATCGACGTTCTAATCTCTGTCTACGACCACACGACTGTTGCCGATCATGTACGAGCACCATTATTAGCCCATACAGTAACTTCTCTGCAGTACCGCGTGTCATCAATACGCCACTGTCATCAACATGTCATCAACGCGCCGACTGCGACTTCTACAACGAAGCTCTGCCCACGATACAGTTACGGGAGTAGTCTATACGGCAGTCGTCGGCAGTACCATGGCCCTGCCGTTGAGAAATTTGTCGATAAAACATCGATGAATTGTTGATGAAACATCGATGAATTGATGATGAATTTGTTGATCATCGATTAATTGTTGATGAATTTTTATTGATGACAGCCTAGGACATGCCCATGTTAAATAAATCAACAGTTTGTATGGCCTGTCATCGATGAAAAATCAACCGCACCCTCTTGACTGTTGATGAAACGTTGATGAATTACTGATGACAGGTAATAAAGGGTAGGTAATCAGAAATATTTTCCTTACCAGCTTTATAAATAACCTCGAACTTAAAAGCTTGGAAACGTAAAAGCCAGCACCCCCTTGACTGTTGATGAAACGTTGATGAATTACTGATGACAGGTATTGCAGGGTTCGGATCTTTTACAACATAACCATTCGTCGTCCGCCAACATTCGCTGTACTTTATTAGATTACATTTTTCCACTCTATTGCACAATTCACTCTACTCACTCTTACATAATAAGAATAATTATATTGCTGCCAATTCCAGTCATCCTTCGCCGTCTCAGATCCTTTCTTGAGCTTCCTTGGTAGAATCTGTCCTTTGCCGAAGGGCTACCAACTGCGCCCGTTATAAGTAATAAAGGTTCGTAATGGAATATTCTGGGTGATTTCCCGACCCGATTAGTTTCGGATACAAATTCAGAATGAATTCTTTATTTAAACCTTAAAATTAGTGTTTACAATAATCTGCTGACCTAGCGGGATGGATTGAAACCGGACCGGATGCATGTGTAGGGCTCGGCTTCGCAGTGGCCCCGATGTTTCGTTTGGTTGGCAACTTAGTTGCCAATAAATGCTTGGCCTCTAGTTACTTGCCAACCGCAGGGGCTTAGGTGGGGGACCGCCGAGGGAATGTGCTGAGGCGGTAACTCGCGCTTCCCAGGTTGCACAGAGATCATCGTTGCTAACGTGCACCAGGTACTAGCAGCCAGGGAAGAGCATCTCCCAAATAATCTTATATTCTCTATTGTTCTCGCGACCTTGTTAGTGCTGGTTACCATGCAAGGGTCCCGTATGTTAATATTGGCCATACCACCGTTGTGTAGACTCATATTATGATCTCTAAGTGTAGCCCCCCCCCCCCCCCATTTGTTTCGGAAAGTTAAATTTTTTTTAGGCAACTAATTTTTTTTTAACATTGTCAGGAATACTGCGCTCGGGCCCGTGCTTTGGTATTTGCCAAACGAATCTACTGCCCATTGGATTCGCTCAGTTGATATTCGCTTTAAAAAAATTCGCTCGCAGTAAAATTTTTCCAGGTAACTCTCTTGCCTTTGTATACGATTTTTATATTCTTCTTTCGTATTATAATTCCAGTCAGAAGTTTGCAATGCAGTGAAGGAGTCATCTCCTTCAACAGCCGAGTCGATCTAGCCGTGACCGTCTGTCCCTTTCTACGCAAACTAGTCTCTCAGTTTTTAAGCTATCTGAATGAAACTTTGCAGTTAGTCTTTTATATACTACCCTCATATATATGTCGAAATGAGCCGGATTGGACGACTATATCATATAGCTGCCATAGGAAGAATCGGAAAATTTGTATAACAAGTATAACTTTTTTAGTTTTTAACAGATTTTTATTAAATTTAAGATTTAGCCTATCATATTATTCTACAAATTTGTGTAAGATTTTACTATATACTACTACTATAATATAGCTGCAATACAATCGATAGTTAGATATTGAGGAAAATGCAAAACTGTGAATGTAAAACTGTAAATATAATATCTAAAGGTGAATGAATTGAAAACAGGCATTACTTAATTTTTTTTAAATAAATATATATAATTTCTATTTTACTACTTCCTAGTGATCAAAGTTCTATCTGCAATGGTATATAAACTTCGGCGTGACGAAGTTAGCCTCCTTTCTTGTTTTTATGCTTTTCATGCTTTCTTATATGGTTCCTACATCCTGGTCGCTTAGCTTGTATTAAAGGACTTCCGCTCTCTTCTGAGATCGCTCAGTTCCTTTGTCCAATACAGTTGATACTGCTTGAATGAAACCTTGCATGTCTCTTGAAAGGCCTCCTTGTCGAGTGCCTCTGAAGGGGATTGTACCAGTATCTTTCTGTTCTAGAATTTTTAGTGTACAATTTTGGCCAATCTGTTTCATGGGGTCGGTGCCGATAAATCTTTGAAAACATAGCTCTGGTCCAAGAAGGAGTGTTGTATCGACACACTCTAGTTCTCAACCCTGAAATTGCCATGGTCAGATCTAACACTTTATCCCAATCTTGAACTACCTTTCTTACATATTGAAACGTAAAAAAAAATACTACTATCAAGAAGAGTCTTGTCTTTATCATTTTCAAGCATCCCCAGAGCCGGTTCCTCGGGTTCCCGTCGCACCTGAGCAAATTGGTCAGCTTGCCTACTCAGGCGGGCTAGTTAGTCATCGGCCGAAGCGATCAATACTACGCTCCCATTCGCTACCACGAATTTGGCCACTGCTACATCCACAGTCCTGATATTGGAACAGAGAAAGTTACTATCGTGCTTCTTAATTACAACACATGCTCTTGACCTACCAACCGAGTTGCTGCACAGTAATCTGGTCGAAGGCGTGATAAGGCGTAGCGCATTTCGCACGCCTTATCATTGACCTCTTCCAGTATCTCGTCCGGCTCAGTTAGAAAGACATTAATCTTGGCTTACCGTGTACCGTACCAGACCTTGTTGTCGTTAGCCGTTCAGCAGCAAACTCGGCCAAGATTGCCCGGCAAAATTCACGAAGAATTTGATACACAGTGTTTCGGGCAACGCAACGATACTCCTAGGATGATCCCGAGGTGTACAAGGTGAGAGCAATTCTCTCTTTCAAGAGTAATGGCATTTTGGCAGTTAGTATCCTAGTTACTGATTTCCTGTTTACGTTTTGGATGAGCGACATCGTCGTCAATTTTTAAAAACTATCTATTAGGCAGCATTTTCCCATGTCCTCGCGATTGGCAGGTAGGCCGTAAATGAAATCGATACAAAAATCTTTTTACAAATGACTTACAAGTTTTATTTTTTTGTCTCGCCAAAAAAATACATGTATTGTTTTTATGTTCTCGACCAAGCACACAGCTCTTTTATTGACTTGTAGATTTACAAAAATACATCCGGGTATGCGGACTCCCAAGTACCTCGAACCGAGGACAGGGACATTGGATTAATACTGGACATAGGCATACCTTATAGAGAGCACGTATACTCACAGAAAGGCACCGCAACCGAATCGGTTACGATGCGAGTAAATCTGCTTGGAATGCGTAACAATGGTGTAGGAGAAAATCCCCCACGTTCTCCATTAATGTCATATGCTTAGAAATAAAGCTATTCCTTTTTTTTATCTGCATCTTTTTTTCAAGGTTAGATGAAATATATTAAAAAAAAAAAATGTCTTAACGCGGGTTTATAGTTCAATGCGCTCTGTTTTAATACATTATCCATCAGTTCATCCCCGTACATTGACTACAGAACGGAAGACGCGGAAAACTTAAATTTGTATATAAAACGTAAGATAAAATGAATACGAGTTTAGATGTAGTAATTCGCCAAGTTATCCGCCAAAAGCAAAACGGTGGGTACCCTGCTATCATCTTACAAACCCTCCAGAAATTTGAGAATTTTAGACATGTTTCCATAATAATTTAACAACGTAAAGAATGTAAACGAATACAATAATGATGAATTGTTTCTGCTTTTTTATTATTATTCATTTATGAGAAACATACATATATTTTATTCACATCCTCCATCTTCAAGTCCAGAATATTTGTTAGACGATTGCAAAACCTGAAATAAATATATATTGTTATTAAATTAATCATTTCGTTTAAAATACATGTATATAAATAATTTTATTTATGTACTCATATATGTGAGTGGAAAGGGTGCATCAGTCCAAGGCAAGATCAGCATAGCATTAGCTGATGTATATTCCTAAGCTGATTGAAACGCCGTCCTGTGCAAAGTTACCTGTGGCCTCTGTATAAGGTTCGCAGCTGAGGTGTTTATCCAGCTGTGTTCGAATGTTCCCTTCCCAGGGCCAGGCAACGGAAGTTGCCTTACCGTTTCTAAGGGGCGTAGCCATGGTTTCAATGTCCCAAATATGGGGAAGGTAAAATCCCACTCAGTTTCAGAAATCCAAGGAAATAAGTTGCTGCTTTCGAATGGTGAGACTCTAACTCCGTCGAGTTTAGTGGGAAACAACCATCACTAAGCAATGAGTGGGGGAGGATAAACCCACCAACAGCAGGCGCAGATTATAAGGTCAGTTTCATACTGGCGAAAATATCGCAAAAAAAAGGAGGCAAAAAGCTGACCACCGATCCTTTTGAAATTTCAAACACTATTTCTGTTCATGTTTTGCGAGGTAACGCTGTCGCGTTTTTAAAAATTTTTGTTTTCATAATTTTTATTTTATCTTTTTTTTCACTTAGAAAAAATTCAAAAATTGGAATTTAAAAAATCTACAGCGTTACCTAGGGTATTCTATAATCTAACGAATGCATTTTTTTATTTCCGATGATAGGGAACCGAGTTATAATTGGCACCGCAATTCAAATTTTTTTCGAGACACGTCCGAACAGGTGCTACCATTGCCATATTTATTTAGATCAAAAGTTCAAGGAATAAAAGTGGCAGAAAATCCAGACGATATAGTATGGTAGCCAGGACTAACTAGAGCCTACAACATCCATAGGTACCACAGGAGCATAAAAATCATGCTTCGTGGAAGCGCTGAATGTCATTCTAAACATAATCCCAATAGAATATTTTCATCACGATCACAGCAGCCCCAAGCGCGGCATGATTGAAGGCAAGCCTGGGCTGGAAGAACTACCACACCGGGCACAGTGATCCTGGACGAGATAAACAAGAAACACAGACTATATGAAATTGGGACTGTGACTTGGAAATGCATATTCAAAAATATACCGTACAAGGAAGGAATGAAGAAGAGGGAGTGTAACCGAGCCACTCTGCAACGACGGCTGGAGGTTAGGTAGGGGCCGGCATCTTTCTAGAAAACTGGGGAGTGGAAGAGTCCTTTCACCTGTCAAAGTTAGCGACAGCATTATAGGCGGAGGTTCTAGCAATATTGAAACAATTCGAACTCTAATTAAGTCGAGACCTCCGGAATTCCAGGTAAGAATATACTCTTATAGTCTAGCGGGCATCGAATCTCCCGAAACGGCGAGCACTACATATTCATTAGTGCTACAAATAGAAAAAGGCACTATTAAACATCTAGAAGATAACAGGGTATAAACAGTTTGGTAACGACATCCCATGAAATGAGAAAGCTGACGAGTTGGCCAGGAAACAGTCATAGAAAAGCTTTAACAAAACAGAAATTTTCAGACGGAAATTCACGACCATTTTAAACTTCTAGACAACAAGGAATGATGTTGAAGACGGAACACAGAAGATCGAAACTATGCTGATCAGAATGGGACACGAACGGCTGTTATTGACTTCAGACGAAATATATATTTCATAAATGATTAAATTCATTATACTTATAAGGAATGGAAAGTTAACTTACTGGTTCATGATTGGGTTTATTTTTCGGCAGTGGTTGGTCATCACGGTTATGTTTGTTGTCTTCATGAAATCTGTTCTGACCGTTTAGATCAACTTTTTCTTTCAAAGCTTCGGGCCTTAACAGAATAGAGCATAACAAAATATATTATTTATTATATAATATAACTGAGAGGTAACATAAACGTATTTTAATATTAAACAGAGGTATTTAGTTGCTATTAATTGTCTTATTCTACATAGCAACATAATTTTACATATTGAATGTATGGTGATTCCATTGACACAATTACATTATGTAAATTGGTTGTGAAAATATAAATAAATTAAAAAAGAACACGTGTTAAAATGAGAAAAAACTAAAATTAGCAGAATTTCGTGACACTGGCCTGATTGGAAGACGAAGGGGGAGTTTTTGCGTATATATGCAATGCGATCGCTTGGGTGGGCCCGCAGTTGTATAAAAAGTAACGTAAATTAAATTAGGAAGCTTTCGCTTGAGGTGAGAGCATTGTTAATCGCTGCGATCTTTCTCGGAGTACATCACAATTGGAAGCCTTTTTGTAGTGTCCCCTTGAATAGTGGTTAAGAATTTTGGACGATTTTATCGTGTGTTTGCCCTTCCAACGCGTAATACGTAAACAAGCTATTACCAAAACTTTTTTTTTATTGGACGTTGATGCACTACGGTCAGTACATTCAAGTGGCCCGTAAGACACCAGACACATGCCTGTTTGGGTTAGGTTTTAGTAGGCGCGATGGAAAATATAGGACAGGATACGAGGAAATTGACTACCGGCATGCTGCCAGGTTGTTAGCTTGCATGTTTACTAAGTGTGTTAGTATTAAAGATTTTAATTTGGGAAGGGTATCTACGTAAGAGATTAGTGTGTACAAATCATTATAATCTGCACATAATACTCTAGGTTCATGCAGTTCAAAGGACTTAACCAATAATTTATTTAATTTTTAGGTCATATTTTTTTTTTTTAGATGTAGAACTTTCCGGCAATAGGTAACTCACTAGCTTTGAAAAAATTAAAAAAAAAAAAAAGATTTTTTTTTGTTTTTACATAATTTTGATGCAAATATCCTTACGGTCATTTTAAGACATTGGGCTTAAAAATATCTCATTATTTGTTGATATTACAGCCATTAGAACTGAGCGCTGCCGGTATGCCTTAAGAGTACTTTCTTTATCTTCTTTTGCGTTTTTCTCAAAACTACATTTTTTAAAACGATGTACATGATTTCTCAAAAACTGCTGGACCGATTTTCTTTAAATTGTTTACACAGCTTCTCTATAACGTTCTCTATGGCATGACGTAGGATTTTATCGATATGATTTTTTTTTTTAAGTTATACATTTTTAAAACAAACATTTTCAAAGTGCTCCCATTTGCTTAATAATAATAATACTTATATAGTTTATAAAAAATTGTATTTTTGAATTTCAGATAACCAATGTGGTGTGCAGCATACCATTCTCAAAAAGAAATTTTTTTTTGACTTGCTTTATCTCCGCCATTTAATAATATTTATTTTTCTTTCAATAAGTATTTTTTAGTTTAACATATGTAATATGATGTACTAATAAATAAAAAGTTGTATTCTTAACAACTTTGTCAAAATGAATTTTTAAAAAACCCTCAAATTTTCAGGCGTTCAAGGTGGTCTACCCCCTTAATTTGTTGCAAAACAGAACAGAAAAAAATTTATTTCGGAGAAAGGCTAAATTTAATTTAATACATTAAATAATACAAATAATACGACAATAATTGAAATAACAAATAATACAATAATGGAAAAAACTTAAACTTAAATCTACAGAGTCCGTTTCAAAAGTAATTTGTTTGCTGTGTACTTCTTTAATGTCCACCTTGATTTAAATACATATAACTTGGTCTAATGTGCCACGATCGATGCAAAGCGCCTACACAATATTTTTAAAATAAAAAAACCAAATAAAACAAAAAATGGCGTCTATGAATGAAAATGGATACAAAACGCCAAGCTTCAGAACTCCCGGGAGAGGATAAACCCCATAAACAGTCAACGATGGACGAGAAGAATATGCTGAGGCAGAGATTAGTCGCGGCATCTCATATAATATCGGAGACCGACGAAGAAGAGTCCCAATCCGAGGGGAGAGCAAGTAGGACTCCCCCCAAACCACTCAGGTGGTGCTGAGATGGCGAGAATCTTGCTTAATGTCGCCGTGTCCTTTATGCCTTCCAGTGACTCGCAGTAGCTTAGTCCCGGCAAGATAGCCAAGAACGAGCCTGAAGGCAAGACCGACCCTAGAAACACCGAAGACAAAGCCAAATTTCTTGCGTAGATCGCGGAGTAAGAGGCCTTCAAAACGGCGAACTCATCGGCGACCCAGAGCTCGCAAGTGGTTACCGAAAAGGAAAACCGACCACGGTCACCTGTCTGAAGGCCCTAAACCCGGACGTCCATACAGAGGACTAGACGGAGTGCGTTACGGCATTAGGAAGGCCAAGATAAAGGTCTTCCTATCCGAGCCGGACGAGCTACTGGAGGAGGTCGATGACACCAACAAACGTTGGATGATATTGTCATCGACGATAAGTCCCATGATGGTACCCTAACAAACATTAATGTCGAAAATCGTGCTGATAAACCTAAAGCGCAGCTCACACGCCTCAGCAGATCTCACGTTCTTTCCAAGGGAGAGGGATATCGACATCATTATGGTACAGGAGCCTTAGACCAAGGACGGGCCCGGTCCCAGGCGGCATAATACCGGCAATGCTACAATCAGCCAAGAAAAGCGTCTGTAGATGGCTAAAAGCCATTTACGAAGCTTGTATACAACTGACGCACATCCCGCTCTTGTGGAGGGAAACGAAAGTCATCTTCATACCGAAACCAGGCAGATGGGGGCACATCCTAGAATACAGACCGATAAGTCTCACCACCTTTGTCCTGAACGTCCACATCCGGGAGAGACTAAAGGGACATCGATTTTCGGATGCGCAGCACGTAAAGGCAAGTTGTACATTATGTCGAGAAGACATTACAACACAAGCAATACACGATGGCCACCTTACTAGACATCAAAGGCGCTTTCAACTTCGACTTTCCGACTCCATTCTGTGCTCACTCAACTTGTTAGGTATTGAGAGAGGCATAAGAGGGTGGATCGGGGTTATGAGGGGAACGATCACGGCCAAACTGAGTGGCACTCACCTCAAGGGGACTGTTAAGAGAAGCACACCTCATGGCGGGGCTTTATCCCCCCTACTCTGGCTTATAAATATGAACGCCATATTGGTAGAATTCAATATGGGTGGCGTTAAAGCAGTGGCATAAGCAGACGATGTGGTACTGCTAGTATCAGGACCCTATCCTGACGTTAAGCATATGGGCAAAAACCTGCGGACTAGGTATTAGCCCTAATAAAACAGAACTTCACAAGAAGAACCAAGATACCATCATTCAACATGCCCAGCGCAAATGGCATGGAGCTTAAACTAGCGGAGCAGGAAAAGTATCTAGGAGTGGTACAGGACAAAAAGCTCTCATGGACGAAAAACTTTCCGGTAGGAGTTAGAAAGGCAAGCAGTGCTTTCTACTCCTGCAGGAAAATGGAGACAAAGTGGTACGTGGCAGTGGTACGGCCAATCCCAACAGACAGGGCCCTACAACAATATATCGAAGCTGACACGGATACAACGAGCAGGGAGTGCGGAGGCCGTGGGAGCAATGCGCTCATGACCCGCGGCTGCCGTCAATGCTATCCTGAATATAGTGCCGATAGAACTGTTCGTAAAGGATATTGCAGCACAGAGCTCAGTAAGACTGAAGGCAAGCAATTGCTAAAAGGAATACGGCGCCGGGCACGGCAAGATACTTGAAAGCATCCGAATAAAGATTAATAAAACAAACGATAAAAATGACTACATGACCGAGGAGTTCAGCTTCGGGAACGCATTCTCGACCTCAAATCCAACAAGGGAAGACTGGAGCAGCGACAAAGTGGTAGTAGAGAACGAGGTATCCCTCTACACCAATGGCTCCAAGATGGGCTGCGGCGGACTGGGATCTATGCTGAGAATTGGGGAATTGAAAAGGGATTCAATCTCTCGGACCCAGCGACGGCCTTTAAGGCTGAGTTGCTAGCCATAAGGGAAGCAGCTGAACTCTCCTTAGGGCGGGAGCTCGAGGACACCAAAGTACGGATCTACTCGGATAGCCAAGCGGCTATCAAATCCCTAGCCGCCGTGAAAACAAACTCGCGGCTAGTGGCAGAATGCGAGAAGGCCCTTAATAAACTTGCTGATAAAAATTAAGTACAAGTAACCTTGGTACCGGGAAACAACGAGATCCCGGGAAACGAAAAGGCAGACGTGTAGGTTCGGCAGAGCAAAGTACAGACTTCGAATAACCGATCTCCCTAAACGCGATCCAGACAAGGATCCATGACCACTTCAAGCTAAGAACAAAGAATGGCTTAGTAAGAGCGAGCACAGGTCAAAAAATGTTGGCCGAGGTACGACAAAAAACGAACCAGTGAACTGCTATCCAACAGCAAACGGGATATCAGCAGGCTCACGATAGTCATCACAGCACATTGGGCGATCGGACCGCATGCAATGAAGATGGGACTGCCAAATAATACAATCTATAGGAGATGCAAGCAAACTACAAAGAGACACCGAAACATCTGCTCTGCTTCTGCCTAGCGCTAAATAGCACCAGACTTTGCCACTTTGGTGCCTACAAGATGGAGTCACTGGGAAGCATAGGAAAGCTGAAAGTATCGGCAATCCTAGGCTTCCTTACTAACTCATGATGGTACTGATAGTGATCGGGACCACAAATAGCAAACAGAGGGAGTGGAACAAAAAGGAGCTTAGCTCTAATTCGAGGTTCTAGTCTTGGGCCTCACCACTGAAACCTAACCTAACCTAACAAAATAATTGTAGCCAAGACGGAGGAAATATTTAAAGAACAACAATATTGACTGAAGTGAAAGATGATATAAAAAAATTAAATGTTCTTTAAAATTACTTATTTTTCAAGATAATTGCATTAAGAAATGTTGAGATTGATCAAAATTCAGAACGATCAAAATATTTAAATGCATGGTCGC